TTGTTTGGCAGCCAAAACAATGCGTGCGTATGTGTGACATTTCACACACACACACACACACACACACACACACACACACACACACACACACACACACACACACACACACACACACACACACACACACACAAACACTTACACACATGGCCTACGAGCCAGATTAGAGCGGTGTTTATTCTCCAATACATTGAGCTATTGTGTGATTCTCCAAGGCAGCAAGCAGTGATTCCTCTTAAAGCTATAGTAAATCATCTCTGACAAAGAGAGGAGAGGAAAGACAGAGATTTACTCATCCATACAACCCTGGTCTGGACAGTGGGAAGGGTAGAGTTCTTTTGTCTAACATGGCACTGATGGATCAAGATTTATTTTCTTTTCGTAGCCGGATCTCTCACGCAGGAAACTGACACATTTTCTTTTCTGAAAATGCATGTTCTATCATTGTTTTGTGTTTCGCTTTCTGTATGCCTGACCCTCACACACAAACAAACACACACACATCATTTCCCATGGAAGCAGCACGTCCTGCTGTCTCAGAAAAAGTCTATTTCATCTTATCAGCAGTAACAGACAGACATGGGCACTACAGGCAGGAGACTGGACAGAGAGCAGGTTAAAAAGTACCTCCACAATAAAGAAACACAGTGGCCATGATTCACATCATAGGATATTTAAAGGACAAATTGTTGAACGGCTAAGACAAACAGTGTATTTCACAGATATAATTATGTCAATCCATATTTTCACTGTGTCTTAATATTGAGCTTTGTGTAAAGACAATGAGCAATATTACTAGGATGTTCCTAAAATTGATTTTCCCAAATCGTGACATTGATTTATTGATTTTTTTCTCACACAGAACATGAATATAACATGCGCACGTGTATATAAGGAGGAACACACCTTCATCTGCATTATGAAAGTCCTTCTAAGAGTGTCTAGTTGAATTAAAAAAACTCCAGAAAGTTGATGACATCCTTACTCAGTCCTACTGTATGACTAAACCACACATTTCTGTTTCTATATTGTTGTTAACTTCTGCCAAACCACCTTGTATTCAACCCTATCCTAATCCTGCGTTTTTGCTCAGCATGCCTGGACAAAGACTCAAATAGATCAAATATATGAGCAACTTGTGTCTCGCAGTAAAAGCCTTACTCCAAAAATGAAACTTTAAGGTTTTACATCAAAGATAAATGAGTGGGAATGCGATTCCGAATGTGTTTTTGGTCTCCATCATGTCTGTGTGTGTGTGTGTGTGTGTGTGTGTGTGTGTGTGTGTGTGTGTGTGTGTGTGTGTGTGTGTGTGTGTGTGTGTGTGTGTGTGTGTGTGTGTGTACCTGTCATGAAGCGGTCCTGTGGAAGAGTGCTAGCCGGTGATGAAGGGTGTATTGATTGGTGGGCCAGGCGCCTAGCGTATCGACGTGGCAGGGGGGTGATCCTTCAAGGCCTTCCTATTGGCACACTGAGTTAATCTGCTCAGCCTGATCAATACCGCCTAACTGAAACTATCATTGCACAGCATCCCACGTCAGTGCTGCGTTTGTCTGGATTTTATTGGTTTTATGTGTGTTTATGGAGGTTGAAGGGATGATTTGTATCTGTGTGACAGGGAAAGCAAAACCTGGAGCATGCCTCTTTTGTGCCTGTGGACATTGGTGCTTTTTTGTGAAAGTGTTATATGTTCGCTCAGTGAGTCATGGGCAGTAAAGTCAGAGCGCAACACTGTGAGGTCATATAAACAGTATAGCATGCTATTATAAATCTGCAGCTTGATTTCCTGCCTGCCTCGGGCAAAGTATGGCAACTTGGCAAAGGGTTAGCCATTGAGAGGATCGGCTGAGTGGCTGGATTTTTGTGCTGCTGACAGTGTATTCCTGCTCTTTATAAATTGTGGTTTTCCTGCAACTAAAATGCCTGGAGCGGGATAAAAAAATAATAATTCTTGGTTATGTTTTTTTCCCTCCAATGGCTCTCGGTTTTTGCTTTTCTGTGTGTGTTATTTTCTGGACACCTCCATTTTATCGTGGGCCCTTTCTTTACCTGTATTTTACCTATCTTTCTTTGTCCTTCTGCAGGCCTAACATGGGGAACACTGGTCAGGTCAGTGACTCTGGCTCATCTACGGTTAAACATGCCCTTAACCCAGACAAAACCTTCATGCAAGTCCACTACCTCAAGGTAAGATAAATGAGAGAAAGACAATGGGAAAAATCAGGGGGAAATGAATAACGGCAATAATAAAGAAAAGCGAAAACAAAAGGGATATAGAATACATACATCAAAATTACCAAAACTTCTTTAGCAAGATGTGGCTCTTTTTGTTGGATGTGCTAGGATTGGAGATAAAGTGAAAATCGATGTTGCTGAAAAGTTTCTCGTTATTCTCCCCATGAATCATGTTTTCTTGTTGTTATTTGTCCTTTGTCTAGGGTTACTTCCTCCTCAGGTTCTTGGCCAGTCAAGTGGGAGAGCAACAATTCATCAATTTCTTCAGATTATTTGTGAAGAAATACCATGGGCAACTCATCTTGTCTCAGGTGGGGCTTCAGTAAAGGAAACCAGATTAATTTAATGGAAGATTGCATTGTTAACTTCCAGCTACTTGAGAGGCTGTTAATAACAAGCTGAGCTCAGATTAGACGGTTTTAATATGACCTGTCTCTGAGGCACAACGTTATTTCATTTAATTAATTTGAAGCTGCCACTAGTTTACAATAGTTGAATGTTCTCCAGCAGATTTTCAAATTGATGGCCTTACAGCTCAGCCACATTATGTTTATTCTGCTGGAGCCATGAAGCTGAGTGATCACACCTGGAAGCGTGTGTGTGTGTGTGTGTGTGTGTGTGTGTGTGTGTGTGTGTGTGTGTGTGTGTGTGTGTGTGTGTGTGTGTGTGAGATATGTGATGTGTTCCACCTGGCTCGTGCTTCTTCGGTGAAAGCCTGAGTCTTGCCACTAAATAATGTATGTAACATAAACACTGTTTAACCTTTCACTCCTGACTTACGATCAAGTATGCCTTTCTCTTTCTTTTTGTCTTCCACCCACACCTCGCTAAATGCATCCATTTCTGTCTGTATTTTTCTTTTCTTTTTCCTTCAGGATTTCCTGCAAATGCTGCTGATTACCTTTCCCGACTTGGAGAGGTACGTAAGTGGCTATGAATAATGCTTACAGTGTAAATCAGGAATAATGAAGAAATGTCTGGACGCATTAAAATCACTTAGGTTTTTCTAAAGTATCACTAGGTTGGTTTCAAGTACAGATTCAAGATATGTTATTCATTTCTTTCTCAACAGATGTGACTTGTTACAGATTTATATATGAGCATGTGTTGATTTGGCCTCAGTTTTTAATCTGCTGTGGAAACATGACCAGCGAAAGCTCCCAAAACAAATCCTGTTAAGAGAGCAGTCTTATCCACTCTGATATTAATTGAAGTGTAAAAGGATAACCTCTCCTCCTCTCTAATTTTCTCTTTCCCTCTCTGCGCTCGCTTAATGATTCATTTCCCTATTTGTCCTGATTGCCTCATTAACCTCTTCTTCTGCCTGTCTATCTCTTTCTACCTGTCTGTCTTTCACTTTATTTCTCCCAACCCTTTAACACGTATTCTCTCACTCCTTTTCTCCTCCGCACCTCCGTGTTGACTTTTTGCTTTTTCTGTCATGTGGAGTGTGCTGCTGGACTCGCAGAGATTGATTATATTAAACAGGGGGAGTTGGGGACAGTCAATATTTGGATCCGATGCCTCTTTCAGTAAACAACATGCTAGACGGTTCAGGATGAGAATAGACACTGTTGAGGGTCATGGCCGCTCTTTGTGCACGATCAAATATCCTGCCAATTCCCCCGACTAAATGAGGAACATAACATGAATAGGACTTAACAAAAAGCTATTAACAAACATTACAAAAATGATTTCTTCATTGATTTCTACTAATAAGAAACCACGGTTTTCCAGATATCAACGTCACTCTTTCTCATACTGTATGTCACCATAAAGGTGAATAACCAATCAAATGAAATCAAGATACCAAGCTCAACGTGAAAAGACTGGTGCACACTTGTCTCGTCTGCTCTCGTGAGACATAAAGCTTATTTATATCCAGTCTTATTATGAAACAGCATTTGACAGGTCCTGTGGTGTATTAAGTGTATTAACCTTTTGTTTGCCACGAATTAAATCTATGCACATAATACCATGTAATCCTGCCTTATGGTGTCTCCCTGTTGATCTGGCAGATGTTCAGTCTTTATATACTCTCTTTGATTCATCTCCACATGCGAAGAGCTGATATTAGCTTGTGGTGAAATCACTTTTAATGTCAAGTTGATAACGAAGTGTTGCTTATAAAGGGAGTATTACCCGAACAGCTTGTTGTAAGCCTCATTTTACAGAAAGCTCCAGCAGCGGAGTCTCTATTGCTTCTCTTGCTTGTGTGTCCGACACTGAGGTCCCAATTTAAATATCTCAACAAGTATTAAAAGGATTCTCTTGAAGTTTGACACAGACATCTGGGTCCGCACAGAATCAACTGCGACCATTATACCATGATAGCATCAGCCTACAGCAAATAAGGAGATGAGAGGCAGATGAAGTCCAGTTTGACTGATGCAAACTGATTCCTGTCTGACAGGGTCCAGCTGAGCCTGACAAGCTCAGCCTGAGGTGTCCTTAAATGGCCCCTCGCACATAGGTTGAAGCCACTACAGCCTCGTAGTAAAGGCATGTAATGACCTAAAGGTCTAAAGCAATAGACCTATTGAGAGAGACATGTTGCCGAACATGATGAAGAACTGGAAAAGAAAGTATCTAAATGTCTGAAATAGAAACAAGTACTTCAGTAGTTTATTGCAAACCAAAATTCCTGGATGTCACTGACATGCCTGTCAGTGGGCAAGACTTTGCATCTTTCTGAGTATTATACAGTACAATGTATTTATAAAAGTATGTCAGGCGTTAGAGATTCCCTTATCTGTGCTTTCAGGTTGGAGTTCCTTCAATTAAATCGTTTCCTTGTGGAAAATAACACCTTTTAATGGGCTCAACATAACATATTAATATACAGCAATAGCTTAAGACTAGCCAAGTGGGGAATTTCCCTTTAAGCAAAGCCTGGCAGGATTGATGATGGGGTTGGGGGGGGGGGTGTATTGCTGTGGAAGTCACTCTTTGACAGTTGTGTACTTAACACTTAAATACACATTGCGGACTGCTTGTGGAATGTTTGTTTGTGTGCACATTAGTATATGCAAGCCTTTTCTGTCACCGTTTGTTTTTCTGTATGTATATGGCCATTTCCATCTGCAAAACCATACACTTGAGTCTCTCCTCAGCCACACGCACACTTGTGTTGACACGCTTGCTTGCTATACATGCACATAAACCCAATTCATTGTCTGTACATGCCTGTTTGCTTGTCCTTGTGTAGGAAAATGGGTGTGCCCCTCTTTTTTGTTTAAGGTGTTGGCCTAAACCTCTAGTCCACCACGACCCCAAACATATTTTCCCAAAGCCATCACAGGGTGTCTTGGGCAATAACATTCATTGCTATAATAATAGGAATAATACTAACACTTGTGCCATTGTGTTGCAGAGAAGGCCTCACCCTCAGTGCTATTCATGCTGACTGGCTCGATCGACCGGGAATTCCAAAGGTATGAAGAGTCTTTTTTTTCTGCCTCTTTAGAGAGTTTGAGCATGTTGCTTGAATAAATTATATATTTTCACTAGTTAAAAATCAACAAGCCAAATAAAGGTGGATAATTAAACATTTAATAATAATTTAATCTAGACCATTTAGACCTGAATATAATAAAAAACAATTTTTTAGTCTGAATGAACAACTTTTCACAATCTATCTGAAAGGTTTTGTTTTGGCCTTGTTTAGGCGTGTGAGGGAAATATTGTGCACCTTTGCAAAAAAAAGGTTGTTCACATGCTGTAGGTGAAAACTAAATCTGAATGGCTTGTTGAATCCCATGTTCTGACCAAGGCAGCCCACAAAGAAACTCTTGGGGTTTGATTTGGTGTTGGTATGCACTCAGGATAAACAAATACCGTATAAGTGTCACTCCTTAAAGGGCAGCACAATAGTCTTAGTTTGCTTTTCCTTTTTAGTTTTTCTCTCCTGTTGTTTTTATATCCAGTGGACTGCTGATACCTGAGCATTATCATCTTTAATAACAGATTGATAGGGTTTTGAGATCATGCATCAACTAGACTTTAATAAAGTTAACATGCTGTGCTCTGATCCAGTTCAAAGCCCACGGGGTTAAGTGTGGTTCCACGCTGGGGGAACTTTCCTTGTTTTGGGGAGTGTGATCTTACATGTAGCATTTGCTAGACAAAAGAAGCTGCATTACTTTTTTCACACTATTTAGCAGCTTTAAATGGCGGCGTAATGACACTATTCTAATGGCAATTATGTCTCATGTTATGGCTTTCGGTATACTATAAATACTGTGGCTTAAATTATTCGTGACTTTTAGCCAGTAGGCATTATGAAACTGCTAGACATTGAGTATAGCATATTTATTTTTCAACTTTCAAAAAAGATCTGATGACATCTTGATGATGAACTGAATTCCACTGGAGGGCATCACGAGCTGCTACGTTTATTTAAAGAGCTAATCTTACGTTTCATTGTGTTGTTGAATCATTATTACCCCCTACTGTCAGTGTATCTTGACAAGGTGAGGCTCTTCCTCTGCTCTCTTATTGACACACACCCACACACACACGCACGCACGCACGCACGCACGCACGCACGCACGCACGCACGCACGCACGCACACACACACACACACACGCGCACGCGCGCGCGCACGCACGCACGCACGCACGCACTCAGATGACATCGGACCTGATGACAGCGTTTCAAAGGAATCACACCCTCAGTCAAAACACAGAACTGGTTCATCACATGCGTCATCCACCTCTTCTGCTAGAATGAAAGCCCAGGCAGACAGGGCGGCTTTAATCGAGAGGGCTGCAGCACTGGATATTCAACATGAGCTTGATGAACAAGGGGGGCAGTTAAACCAACAAGGGGAAAAATTGAAACAACAGTTGAAACAACAAGAACAACAGGTGAAACAACAAGAACAACAGTTGAGACAACAAGAACAACAGGTGAAACGAAAGAAGGAACAATTGGATTTACAAACTAAACTGACAGAGGCCAATGCCAGGCNCCGGCAGATGCTCATCACAACAACTAAAACTGTTGAACGCTGAATAAACCTCATTATAAACTGCAACCAAGGACCGGAAAGTCCTCTGTTTGTGTCTGCGTCTGGATCACTCTTCAGCCCTTCTGTGACGTATGACAAAAATATATTGGACATAGAAAAAGGAAATTGCCATTACATTAAGTGGAATCGTACTCTGAGTGAAACTGGACAATAAGAATCACTTCACATTGGATTAAGGATCGTTTTCACCGGAAACAAACAAGAAGGAACAATTGGATTTACAAACTAAACTGGCAGAGGCCAATGCCAGGCTAAACGTGCTCAGCATGGGATCAAGACACACCTCTAGAGCATCAGATGGGATGAGCTCTTACTTCAGAAACCCTACAGCAATATTTAATCTACATGCAACTGAATTCACCTCTATTCCCAGACAAAATGTACAGACACATGTGCAGGGACATGTTGACATCAAACCACCTGTAATCAACAATGGTAATCAAGGTGACATATATAACCTAATCCAGAGGCAAAATGACATCACTGCTATGCTGGCTCAACAGCATCTCACTTCTACTTTACCTCCAAGAGACATTCCTGTTTATGATGGTGACCCATTGCAGTTTGAAGCCTTCATCCGTGCATTTGAAAGAGGAGTAGAGCGGAAAACTGATGATGAAAGTGACTGCCTGCATTACCTAGAGCAGGCCTATTCAACTGGCGGCCCGCGGGCCAGATGCGGCCCAGAACCAACTCCCGAGTGGCCCAGCCTCCCGTAGCCAAATTCCTACACTAGTACAGACCATGAACGCAACACTCCACGTTGCATAGAAACCACCAAACCACAACGCAGCACGTTTTTTGAAAGTGCATCTAGTGGTGCTAGTAACGGTGGTCCTATGATAGCAACTAGAGTTGCTATCATAGGACCACCGTTACTAGCACCACTAGATGCACTTTCAAAAAACGTGCTGCGTTGTGGTTTGGTGGTTTCTATGCAACGTGGAGTGTTGCNTGTGTGTGTGTGTTGTTGTGTGTGTGTGTGTGTTGTGTAGAGAGAAGTGTGTGTGTGTGTGTGTGTGTGTGTGTGTGTGTGTGTGTGTATGCTCGTGTGTTCGTTCTTCTTGACCACTTCAGTGAAAAGCTTGTTGAAGCTACTTTTGATCTATATGACTTCCAACTTCCATCTACCCTAAAAGCTGTGTGTGGTTTTGTGTGTGTGTGTGTGTGTGTGTGTGTGTGTGTGTGTGTGTGTGTGTGTGTGTGTGTGGGTGTGCATGGGTGTGCCTTTCAATGGTATTTTAGAGCAGCTATGCAATGAAATAGCTTGTCAGCATCGTCAATCCTGACTGTTGATCTCTTTACACCCCCCTTTTTTTAACTGTATACTCCCATATTCATCATACATTTACATAAATACACACACACATGCATGCAGGCGGACTGTAGGGAGTCCCTGGACGAGATGAGACAGGCAGTGAGCTTAAAATGACCCCGAAGACAGAAGTGCTACTGAGTGATAAATGAGACAAATACACGCTACACTCTCTCCCTGTTACTTTTTTTCTGTCTTGCTCTCTCCCATTAACACAACACAAATGGAGCCATCTCCTCTCTCTCCTCCCCTCCCGTCTCTACAAATTAATCTTCCCATCTCCAGCGCTTGCACCACTGATAACGTTCTCTAAGATTTTCACTAGATATCAAAAGGGAAAACAGCTTTTCTTTCCTCTCCATTAGCACAGATTTAAGAAACTTTGGAGAAAATAAAAAAAACATTGGAGCTAAAATATCCTGATTTGTATTATTTATTTGTATTGTAAAAGTGTTTTGGGATTGGATTAAATTGGATGTGACAGAACTACAGCATCGCAATGCATCAGTCAGACAAAACACCGTTCCATCTGTCATGTACACTTTTACAGACAGTGGATTTTACTATCAGTCAGTTTATACAATAATATCCTGTCATACCACGGCATGACTTTTACAAGTTAAACTCTGGGGTAATATACAGTGAAAGCAGTACCAGTTACCATTGCAATAAACCATGTGTACAAACAGCTGTGTATACGTTCTGTGGAAGTAGTCTTCAGATTTATAGCTTTATACATGAGCTTTGTCACAAAACAAAAAAGGAAAAGACCCCACTTTTTTAAAACAGGCACACAAGTGGACTGGAAAGTTTCATTGACAGGTAACGCTGGATCGCCAGCTTGTTGACTGAAAGTCTTTGTGAGTGAAGGTTGAATCAAACAGCAGTTGTGTGCCACACTAATCCTTTCATTCCTACACAATCTGTTTTAGCACTTTTTAATTACTGCGTAAAATGACAAAGCCAGTAGGATGCTTTTACTGATTGTTGTTACTCCAGTTCTGTTGTTTCTTTAAGATGTTCTGGACTCATTCTCTTTCTCCTCCGATTCTCTTACTCCTTCAATATCTCTCACTGAGGTCATGAGTTCAGCCTCGAGGAAACTTTGATCTAGTGTAAATAAAGGATGCCATACATTATTGTGTAGCTGCAGTATATGTGTGTGTTTTTGTGTTCTTTTGTGTCATGCATGTACAGTACGTAAGTAGATAACAGTATGACTCTGCTGCCATCTGACTGCAGTTTGGCTTTTATCCATGTATTTAATACCTGTTGTGCTTATTTTATTAACTTTGCTTTTTAAAATACCTGTTTTTAAATGCCTTTTTATAATGTGCTTCCACTGTATTTATTCTTACATTTCTTTTATTCTATTTTGTAAAGCACTTTGGGTTGCCGTCTGCTGAAAGGTGCTGTATAAATAAACTTGCCTTCCCTTGCCTTGATGAAATCCTGTCTCCTGTCTACAAACCATTCAGGAAGCAGTTGAAACTCCAACAGTAGGTACATAAAAGTGGAACACAGCTAATAAGATATGGTAGCTTCCTCTTGTGTACTTAATTATATTATTTAATCACTATAAGCCCATGATCATAGACGAGAAATGAAAATAAAGGCATCCTCAAGCTAATTTTCCTCTTCACCATGGCCATCTTTTACATATGTGCATGGCGGCCGTTGCTGCACATATCCACCGGTTTATTTGGCAACCCATCACTTGTGAACAACACCTCAGCCCTCAGCCTCACTGCATGAAGTCTCTATCAATGGAACAAACACCACCAAAGCAGTCTAGAAGGATCTTACAATATGGTTAGAATGAGTCCAGAGAACTGACGCATCGCTCGTCATCTGAAACCAGCCTTCCATGAAAGATCCAAATCAGAGGCTTGATGCTTTCGACAGCACAGCAAACCCTCCATCACGACGAGCTAAGGAGTATAGCAAATGAGTTGGACCCATAAAAGTGAGACATAATAAACTCCCTGTGACAGCTTGTCAAACTGCTACTTAAATATTCTATTAAAGCTACAGGATGGATTCAGTTGCATTACGTCTGCATGTGTTGCCATATGCAGAGCTCAAGTTTTAC